AGATAGATAGATAGATAGATAGATAGATAGATAGATAGATAGATAGAAAAATAAATAAATAAATAAATAAGCAAATAAATAAATAAATAAATAAATAAATAAATAAATAAATAAGTGAAGAGTGGGGGGATCAGAACAACCTTTTTTAAAAAGTCCTTCCTTATCAGATACCACTAAAGTCTTAAATAAACTACAATGAATTTTTAATACATGGCTTAGCCTGCAAGGAAGTAAAAACAACTCTAAAGACAAAGAAAGACAGAGGAGAAAGAGGGCTGCAACCTGAGTGGATATATAAGCAAATCCAAAGACCAGAGTCAAATCTATGAGTTAGAACGAGGAATGGAAGATGGAGTCTCAGAGCCTCTTGCCTTTGGCCTCCCGAGGTAAGCAGCTTGTATCCTCTACCTGTTCGCTGATGAGTGTCTGCCTTTCCATAGCCTAGAAACAACCCTCTAAACCCTGTGAAACCGTGAGACTGAATGAAACTTTCTTCCTTTTAAGTCATTAATTTCAGTTATTCGGCACAGTGATGAAAAGCACTGAACACAGAAAACTAATGCTGTAACATGATTTCACCAATTAGCCTCAGCAAGATGCGCACTCATGATTTTAAAATTACTAAATACACCAATAAATCATAAGAAACAATTGGCAGAAATAATGAACAGCAGGTGCGTTGCCCCATAGGTTTTAGAAGATGGAATTGCCAGATACTGAATATAAAGTAGTCATAGCTTTATGCACTAAGAAACTAAAGATGGCATCTGGGAGATTCTGATAATGCCCCAGCAGCGCGTGCACAAAGCTGCGCACATACCCCACTCAGAACAATGGAATAAATCTCTCCCCTCTAGCAGCCATTAATAACTCTCATTTTGTGGTCACTTCCCATTCTAACATACTACAGAATAAATGCAGGTATGGGGTGCAGGGGGGGGCCAGTTTGATGAAACTGGTTTGGAGCACATGCATAAAAGTGCCAGCTGTGTCCCTGAGTGAACTCTTAGGGGAAAACTCCTATTTACCATCTTATGGCTATGCATTGATTGAGTGTGCATATGATTAGAACCAGCTCCATCGGAGGGAGGAGCGTGCGCAGTGAGCAAAAGCTTACCTAAGCCAAGCCTGTCAACCATAATAGAGACCCACCCACGACAACCCCTTATTAAGCAAACTCCTCCTCAGCTTCATTAGTAATTAAAAAAATATGAATTACATGTATGAAAATAATAGTACCCATTGGATATGAATAAATGTAAAGTCTAACAACACCTAAGAACTGGTGGAATTAGCTTATCATATTAGACATTTGGAGCTGGGGAGATGGCTGAGCAGGAAAAAGGGCTGATGGGATCCAGCCCGAACCTGAGTTCAGATTTCCAGAGCACATGTGAAAGCCAGACACAGTGGCGCAT